CTAACTCATCGTCAGCCGCTAAAAAAATTATTATGAACTTATGAACTATGGTCATCATGCCCATTGCCTCTCACCCACCCAAGTAGCACCTGGGCACGTGAGTGAGTTCCTGGCAATGAACACGGAAGTGGTTAAACCTGAAAATCCTGAGCTAAAAACATTATTAGCGTATATATTGTTTATTTAACGGACTAACGTTCTTTCATCTTGTACATTTGCGATTTATCTACGACTCTACTTTACAAAATTAAGGGATTATTGAAATTTGAATATTGAAAGAAAATATTAATAATGAACAAGGAATTTATTCGTGAAAGTAAAGACAAAGACTCGACGTAATGAAATAATTGACTCATAAAATAATTTAAAAAGCAATAAAAATAACCTCAGATGATTTCTTCATCAAAGCAAATTTTCGGAAACACGAAAATAAAGTTCAAATTTATTGCTTTGATTCCAAAATCTATCTGTCGCGAACTGTTTTCTTGCACATATATCCAATACATTTTCGAACGAAAGTAAATTAACGCTAATATCAAAATTATCAAAAGAGAAAAAATGGAATTGGAGTTTATTTATTAAAACAACAATGGTAAGATATATAATCATTGTTGCTGTGATATAATTATAATTTTCGTAATAACGAAGTCGAAGGGCATTCGACTTTTCCACTATAAAATATTTCAACATATCGATATTCAAATACTTAATTCGATGTTTATTCTACAGTAAACTAATTAACAATATTGTATTATTTATGTTACCTATATTATGTTTGTCAATATATTATGAAATAACAATCCATATGCTCATTATTCTTATTTAAAAACGCGATGTGCAAGAAAACCTATCCTGAATTAATAAATAAAACACAGGAGACATTTTGTTATTACTCACGGGTATAATAAATACCCGCGGTCACTATGCTCATGAAAAATTCTACGTAATACAACCAATCACTCGTGTCGATTTGGACCTTTCGTCCTACGACATGATTGAGTGACCAGAGGAACCATAATGCATGCGACTCATCAATGATGCGGTGAACAGCTGCAATTGCTGATAAGAAGCCATGGAAAAAACCGACTTAGATAGACTCATTGGATGCATGGAAAAATAGAGGCTGCAGAAATCTGTAACAAAGCATCAAGTATTATAGCCTAACTATTATAGATTATATATAATATATAATCATCGAATATTATATAATATTAAAAAATTAAAACTTTATAACAATTCAAAATCTATTAAAACTCTCTACATTTTTATTCTTTTTGTCTCGTAATTAATAATTATTAAAACAAATTAAATAGACTGAAATTAATTAATTTACTATGTATAAACATACTTACATTCATGGCTTCTGGAGCACTTCTGGAACCTTTTCGGCCGAGAACTGACTCTAATACCGGTAACGAATATTTAGGGGAAAAGGCACGAATATATATACAAAAAAAAAGAAAAAAAAAAAAAAATGGAAGATTATTAACGTGTCCGCTTAAATTTTGATCGGCGAACAAACACTGACTCTACTTTCACGTATGGCTGTTATGATTGTATTAAATAAGAGCTACTGGGCTCTGTAATGGAGGTTACTTGATACGAAAACAAACACTGATTCGACCGGTCGCATTGCGCACGACCACAGAAATCTCTGGAAGGAAAAACATTAGTGGGGGAAGGAGAATGCAGTGGGGAGTTTACCGTGCCGAACGTTCGTTAAAAAAAAAATACTGCTGTTCTTATGAAGTTTTAATAAACGTAGGAAACAGAACACGTGCTTGAAATACCAACGAATAAGTGGAAAATATTAGAATTATTTTACCATAATAAAATGCAAGAAATTATACGAAACGGTTCATTAATACAGTCTGAAATATATCTGCACAATCATACTGTGCAATAACCGTTTTTGGCTTGCGTCGAAAATTGTTCGTGTCTATAATTGCGACTCTCTCGTAGAAACAATAAAAATTATTTTTCAAAAGCAAATTACGACGACGTTATAAAATATTCGCGACCAAAATACAGTAAAATTTGAATTATATCGATTTCTTATTCAAATATAAAATATAAAATATTAATTACGTATTATAATATTATACATCAAACAAATTACCGATGATTCAATAAGTGGAGGTACTTACGAACCTCCATTACCTTTGGCTTCGTTATAATAAGTTCAATATTACCAGGTTTCCACGAAGAGTTAGCAGATTCGAAGACGAACCACATGGCGTCCATACTTCGTTGTCCAATGCGTTCGTTGGCGGCCATGTTTGATTCTTCAATGCGTTCGTTAACAGCCATGTCTGCTTCTCCAATGCGTTCGTTGACGGCCATGTTTGCTTCTGGAATACGTTGGCGTCCAACGCGTCTTGCAGTCCATTATTGATCTGCACAAAAGAAAATGCAATATTTAAAACAAGTATACGAAACCGTAACTAATTAGGATAGAATTAAACAATCGTATTTAAATTTAGATTACCAGTAATAACGATCAAACTCAGAATTATAAAATCAGAAAAGACGTAAGAGACTAGATAAAAGTGCTATAATAATATTCTAAAGTTAATAAACGAGCACGTATTACTAGAAGACAGCAGTGTATGAATAAGAGAAAATAAATGAACTTACTACGCAATAGGGTAAGGCGTTGGTTACATCCTACGTATTACTAGAAGACAGCAGTGTATGAATAAGAGAAAATAAATGAACTTACTACGCAATAGGTAAGGCGTTGGTTACATCTGGACGAAGAGACACGTCTGCTCTCGAGAAGCTCCTGCAGTAGACTGGCCACGCCGTGCCGCAGTTTCTACCACGCAGTTTAGTGATTCGGGAGTGGCAGCTTCCCCTTCCACTTCCAATGCTCAACGTATCGTAAAATCCGTTGAATACAGCAGATGTTTTAACCATCGTTTCATCAAACACAATGTTCGAACCAGGAGTAAAGGCAGAAATAAAAATATTAAAAACTTGTTATGGCTTTGAAACCAGCTAGAGTGATTCGTAGCCTGTTTATATTTTAAGAATTTTTAATTTCTGGGCCTGTCGCGCATTGGAAGTGAAAGGGGAACCTGAATCTTGTTCAATTGACGAACTATCTAGCGGAAATGACGTCACGATTATCACATTGTATGAACTATACATATATCACATGTATATTGATAATAAGAATAAAAAATTATTAAATTATTGGCTATTATTTGAAATTGTAATGTACTTGTTTTAAAATGTACCTGTAATTTATAAAAGGTTTATAAATATAATATAATTTACGAAGGGTTTATAAATTATTAGATTTATTGTTGATAACAAATTGTTCGCATTGTGAATTTATAATAAAAGTGAAAAAATTAATAAAATATTGGCTATTAAAGTGGAAAAATAATTATTAACGGAGTCGGTAAAGTCCGGAAATTTCCGTCAA